AAGCAGCTGATTGCTTATGCAAAGGCAAACAATAAGGTAATACTATGTCATATCAATCAGTTTACTGCATTTGGGTACATTATTATTTTGTCAGTGGTGGGAGTTATATTTTGAGTGATGATGTATAATGAAGTATAGGATAATAAAGTTGAGTATTTATCCATTACTTGTTTCACATTCCATTGTTGCATGTCCTGGAGTCAATGAACTCCCCCTGTCAGCAATTTTCATCATTTCTGAAGAACTTTTTTGTCTAAAAAGGTAGAATGAGCTTCAACGGATCATCACTTGGAGCATTTAGACATTACCTATCTCACTTTTCAACATTGTTTCTTCGGGGGGTCAATAACTACTCTCACTCTAATTTTCCCTCTTTCATTGGTTTTAAAATTATATGGCGTGTAAGTTACCTTTCTCAGGTGGTTATTGGTCCAGCTACTGTTGGAGGGATCCAAGCTGGTGCTTTCAAGATTGGTGATACTGCTGGAACAATTGATAACATTATTCAGTGCAAACTTTACAGACCTGGATCTGTAGGCTTTGTCTCAAAATCTGTGAGTGATTTTTAGAGCCTCTTTAATATCAACAACAACAACCCAGTATAATCCCACTAGTGGGGTCTGGGGAGGGTAGTGTGTACGCAGACCTTACCCCTACCCTGGGGTAGAGATGCTGTTTCCAGTAGACCCTCGGCATCCTTTCCTCCAAGAACTCCCCACCTTGCTCTTGGGGTGACTCGAACTCACAACCTCTTGGTTGGAAGTGGAGGGTGCTTACCATTAGAGCAACCCATCTTGTCAGCCTCTTTAATATCATATCAGAAATTTCTAGTTGGTTACACCTGCAGCATTTTGTCCCCACTTACTTTCTAATTTGCTATCTCCTAGAGTGCGATTAAGATAAAATAATATTTGTGAGATACTTCCGTCTATTCTGAACTACTTTCAGTTATATATCTTTACTTAACATTAATGTTGGAAACTGTTCAAGCATTACTTTAACCCAACTTTCTTGTTTGAAGCCATAACCTCACTCTAATATACGAAGCAGAATAGTTTGGAGTAGCATTTCCATTTTCAAGAATAATAACTTTTCTCTTGATGTACAGGGTGGTATGTCTAATGAATTATACAATACAATTGCTCGTGTGACTGATGGAATTTATGAAGGTTGGGCATTCTGAATTCTGAATCCATCATTTGGAGCATGTTTTTGTTGTTTTTACCGAGAAGTAGAATAATGAGTGAATTTTGGTCTATGCAGGAATTGCAATCGGGGGAGATGTTTTCCCTGGCTCTACCCTTTCTGATAATGTTTTGCGCTTCAACAATATTCCACAGGTAATTGATTTGTACAGGCTATATTCTCCTTGTAATAGCACCAGGTTCACCCTCAGGTCTTCAGTGACGTTGCTTTAACTTTTAAGATATCCTGATTGTCTGTAGTTGTCTAAATTCTCCTTACCCTCATTATATGTGACCAATAAAGAAGCTATTTTTCATAAGCTAACATTCCAACTAAGTAGCAAAAGTATATCTGTTTCCACACACACACACACACAGTGACTTTGGTGCCTTTCTTCCTAATTTTAACCATTAGTATCTATGATTTAAGGTTGATTTTTTTTCCGCTAATATTGATACAACTAGAAGCTCAATGGTGCATAAACAACTACTGCATTGATGTCTTGTTGTATTTCCTAATTCTATTCAAACCACTTTGCCATTTATTGGTTGTTCACTTTCTTAATGATGTTTTTGGTATACCTAGGTTAAAATGGTGGTTGTTCTCGGGGAACTTGGTGGACGAGATGAGTATTCCTTAGTTGAAGCCTTGAAGCAGGGAAAAATTAACAAGCCTGTTGTTGCCTGGGTTAGTGGAACTTGTGCTACGCTCTTCAAGTCAGAAGTACAATTTGGTCATGCGGTGAGCTCTATTTCCCATGATTGCCACGTTTCTTAAAAATAGGTTCCTAGTTGTTTCTCGCGAAGATCGAGAGATATTTTAATAATAAAGTTTTTTTTATAGAAAAGGCTGGACAGGATAGTTTTACACATGAAGTCTAATTTTGCATGGATCTTTTTCAAATAGGGAGCAAAGAGTGGTGGTGAAATGGAGTCCGCACAAGCAAAGAATCAAGCACTCAGAGATGCCGGAGCTGTGGTTCCAACCTCATATGAAGCTTTTGAAGGAGCAATCAAAGATACATTTGAAAAGCTAGTGAGTTTCTTGATGTTCAGCAGAGATCACTTGTATTTGTCTTCTACTCTGTTGTTAGTTCTAACAGCACCGTGTATTTGTTTTGGTAGGTTGAGGCAGGAAAAACAACTCCTGTAAAGGAAGTTTCTCCTCCTCAAATACCTGAAGATCTTAGCACGGCAATTAAGAGTGGGAAAGTTCGGGCCCCAACTCATATTATTTCCACAATATCTGACGATAGAGGTAGTGTTGGATTCAACTGTTTTCTCTCAAATAATAAATTTGTTTTTCTGGTGGGTATATGTGAGATGGAAATGGTGCTAATTCTGTCTACAACTTCTATTCACAGGTGAAGAGCCATGCTATGCTGGTGTACCCATGTCATCCATTGTGGAGCAGGGACTTGGTGTTGGTGATGTGATTTCCCTCTTGTGGTTCAAACGGAGCCTACCGCGTTATTGTACACGTTTTATTGAGGTAAGTTTCTTATGCTTGCAACTCTATACTCTTTCAATAGGTTATAAAACTCTTATGTATTGACCTTCAGTTTCTGCCAACAGATGTCGTTCTGTTTCTAAACCTTAACATGCTTTATCGTGGTTGATTTCTTGGCAGATTTGCGTGATGTTGTGTGCTGACCATGGTCCCTGTGTCTCTGGTGCCCACAACTCCATAGTAACTGCCAGGGCTGGGAAAGATCTGGTTTCATGCCTTGTTTCCGGTATGTTACATTTTAAGGTTGCTCGTTTCTAGTTATCAGTTTATTTTTCAAAAAAAAAAAAAGTTTATTTTTCAAATCAAAACTGGAATCATGTGGCTTTTAACAGGATTGCTGACTATTGGTCCGCGATTTGGTGGTGCTATTGATGATGCTGCTCGGTACTTCAAGGATGCTTATGACAAGGTGAGCCTTTTAATTTATGAGCATTAAATGAGCCACTCATCAGGCTAGAAGTAGTCCTGCTGGTCTCTTTTGTGTCCAGAAGAGTAATACTAGCATTATATTTTCAGGGTCTTACACCATATGAGTTCGTGGAAAGTATGAAGAAGAAGGGCATTCGTGTGCCAGGAATTGGCCACAGGTAGCATATCCTGTAGCTTCATGAATCATCAAAGAATTGTTCCTCGAGTTGTAGAAGCAAACGATGCACATGAAAATCTTTTGAACTAGGGTTATCATGCTTCTAGGCGCTTGTGGCTCTAAAACTATTTGATGTACCACATCTTTCTTCTTTGTGATAGGATTAAGAGAGGTGACAACAGAGATAAGAGAGTGGAACTACTGCAGCTTTATGCTAGGGAAAATTTCCCTTCTGTTAAGTACATGGAATACGCTGTTGAGGTTGAAACTTACACACTGTCAAAGGCAAACAACCTAGTCCTCAATGTCGATGGTGCCATTGGATCCCTCTTTTTGGATCTCCTTGCCGGCAGTGGAATGTTCACCAAGCCAGAAATTGATGAAATTGTGGAGATTGGTTACCTCAATGGACTTTTCGTGCTGGCTCGTTCAATTGGGCTTATAGGGTGAGTTGCATGATGCGTAAACACCATTTTAAATTTACTGTCAGTAATTCTTTTTTATGATAGCTCAATTCTAATTCCTAAATGATTGATTATGTACCTTTTCAAATCTCAGGCACACATTTGACCAGAAGAGATTGAAGCAGCCTCTGTACCGTCACCCATGGGAAGATGTCCTCTACACCAAGTGAAGAGTCTCTCGATAACAACAGACAGAAAGTTGCCTGCTCCCAATCTATATTTTTCACTCAAACTATTTGGTTAGCCATTTGTTGTGTGAGTGATTCAACAAGCATTGCTAATTTGCTAGTACTCCTGAGAGCTCTGGTGAGCATTTCATTTTTTAAGTTCTTAGGGAGATGCCAAAAGACAACTCTCAGTTATCACTCGTGATCAATTCTTAGTTCCACACAAGTGTTTTCTTTTTTCCTCTATCATGTCATAAATGAAATAACACAATCCATTTTTGTACCTGATTTCAAAAGTCTTTACAAGGAGACAGGGTCGTCTCAACAAGATTGGGGGCCTAAAGCCAAATTTCAGAGAGAGGCCCCAAGTAAGAATATTAACGACAAATTTGCAATGAAAAAGTATAAAATAAAGGTAAAATAATAAAACCGGCTCAAGAATTTGATAAGTTGATATACAACAATAACATACCCAGTGAAAACTTACAAAGTGGGTCTGGGGAGGTAGAGTGTACGCACACCTTTCCTCTACCTTGGGAGGTAGAGAGGTTGTTTCCGAAAGACCTTTGGCTCAAGAGAAAGCATGGCAAAAAAGGGTTAGATAAGGACAATCAATTCAATCCAATATGTATACGGGTATAACCGAGCCCATGAGTTGCCTCGTCTTCCGATGAAGCAAACAGAGCAAGAGACGCAACGGCAGGGAACCAGAATCGAGACCAGGAGCCCCTCGAGCCGGGGTCCGGGCAAAGCGCCCGGTCTCGAGAGTATCGGGGACATGACCCTGAGTTCGGTTCGAATCCCAAAGGCCTCAGAGAACACTACTAGGTAACTGAGCACGACCAACAAAAGGCCGTGATATATGTGACCAGCCGGATATCACGGCATGGATCTCGCCACGTATCGGCACAAAACCAATTATTGGTTAAACAGAAGATTTTTTACCTTTCATAGAAGTGTACTTAGGGTAAAACTCCCCTACTATATAAAAGGGGGTCTGATTATTCATTGGGGACACTATAACATGCTTATCAAGGCAGTATACTATTATTTTCTCTATTATTCAAAGTTCTAGTTATTGTTCATCAGTGCTTGGTCATTGTGAGTCCGGGATCAAGGACGGATATTTCATTAAGGCTGTTATTAAGTCCGGAATTACCCTCCTCAAGTGGTTTGATAATTTATTACCTCCTTTATCTGTTTAATCTTACGCAATTTATCGTTTGTATCAAATTAATTCACGTATCCTTAAAACCACAAACAAATTTAATTGTTATCCGTTTTTTAGGGTAAACAGTTTGGCACCCATCGTGGGGCTAAGGATAATAGTGGCAATTTGATACGAATTTCCATAACACACCTTATTTTTCACTTTTTCTTTGAAGTCTTTAATTTCAGGTCGAGGCTTAAAATGTCGAACTCCCAATCCGCCCCTTTGAACGTGGATGCTGAGTTTGGACACCATGGCGAGAACAACGATGTGGCACCCAGTAACGAGGTGCCTTCTGTCGACCCCAACGGAGTTCCGGTCGCCGACCCTGTAACACCCCGAAAAATTTTGAAGTACTTAAGTGTAAAACCCGGTAAAATTTGCAAAGAAAATAATATTTTATGGTGCCGGACTAGGTTTACGTGTTGAGGATTATAGGAATTCTTCGCGGCGAGCTTACGAGCTGCGGCTCAGACTTTTTGGGTTGAACAATGCACGGAAAAGTAAAGAAAAATTTTTGGCGAAAAAGTGCATTTCTGCGGTCCATTATGCGACCGCAGAATCACTCTGCGGACTGCATAATGGCCACAGAGTGAGGCCGTTAATTGGGTCAGTTGAAAGCAATTATGCGGTCGACTATGCGATCGCATAACTGTTATGCGGTGCACTATGCGACCGCAGAACAGTTATGCCAACCGCATAGTGACCGCAGACTCAGGCAGATTTTTGGTCATTTTGGACACCAATTATGTGACCGATATGCGGTCTGCATAACCATTATGCGGTCGCATATGCGACCACAGAACCGTTCCGGAGCTCCATTTTTGGGTTTTTAAAACCCGACCCTACTTCGTTAAATGTATATTTTGGGCCATTTTTGAGATATAATCTGACATTTTAGAGTGAGAGAGAGTGCCCTAGAGTGAGAAGGTGTTCTTCAATAATTGTTCTTCAATTCTTGCTCAAGTTTTGGAAGATTAAGAAGGCAAGCTCACTAGGTCTTCATCCTAGAGGTAAGATTCTACACCCTAAACCCTAATTTCGAAATCATCTGAAAATGGGTAATTAACAAGATAATTTTTGGGCATGAGAGTTGATTATTTTACATGCATGCAATATCAAGGGGTGTAAGAAGATTGTTGAACTAAGCATGGTAAATATTGGGTTGTGGGATGATGGAATCCTCCATAAAAGGACCTTGAAACCTTGTGCACACCTAGAGTTTGATAAAATGCTCAAATGAGCTAAACCATGATCATCTTCCTAATTTTGATTCAATTTGTTATATTTCTAAAATAGATTGAAGTTGCTAAGAATTTCGGAACGTTTTAGAGTTTAAGGAAGCTCAATTGAGGTATGTTGGCTAAACCCTTCTCTTAGAATTGAATCCCACGATATTCATGTAAATTATGTAAGTCCCGAGCGATTCATTATGCAATTGGCTATTCCGAGTAAGATTGGGTTGAAAGATATATGTTCAACAAGCATCCTAAATGCTCGATTCATGTTATGTTACCAATTGAGGATGTGTTAAAATATGGGATGTGCATTAATAATATTTCGACTTTAAGTCAAGTTCAAATGAAGGCTATTATGCCAAATTTTGTGAAATATCTTTATGTGCCTTAGACTCTAAATTGCTCACATGTGTACTACACACCTTGATTTGAATTGTATTTGTTGTTGATGATGATAATGATATTTGAAATTGATAAGGTGAGCATGAAATACTAAATATGGCCAACGTGCCAAGAATGATCTTATAATTATGGCCATTAGTGCCAATTAAATGAAAAGATGTGAAAGTAATATGAAATGCGATGATTGATATAAAAAGGTTGATGTCTCTAATAAGACAGCCTAGCCGATCGGGTCGTGATCGGACACCATGCCACACACATGGTGGTGATTATGTTGGAAATTATAATTGAAATTGAGATTTTGGTTGATGTCTTCAAATAAGACAGTCTAGCCGATCGGGTCGTGATCGGACTCCGTGCTAAAATTACGGTGGTATTGGTATTGATAGTAGTTATGGTTGATTCTCTAAGGAGATAGCCTAGCCGATCGGGTCGTGATCAGACTCCGTGTTAAAGACGGTGGTATTGATATTGAGAGTAATTGTGGTTGATGACTCTAATGAGATAGCCTAGCCGATCGGGTCATGATCGGACTCCGTACAGAGAATACGGTGGTACTGGTATTGTGGACAATGNATTGTGAATAATGGTATTCTGGACAATGGTATATCTATATCGATACTAAAAATCTCCCAATGTGAGATATAAAAATTAATTTGAACACTGTCTTGATCCTAAATTGAGATTTGATGTTGATTAAGGCTGTCACGCCCCAAAATCGGGGAGCGCGACCGGCGCTCAACCGAGTGAATCCGATCGAGCAAGCCTGTTAGATTCCTTCTACCCAAACTCATTCATGAATAAAGAGAATATATGTTTTCCTTAATTAAACAATAAAGTGGTCATGTCTGCAATTACCAATTTCTTACCAATAACTCTTCATTTTTAAAGTCTCAAATGGACAAGTAATACAACCACAACATAACATAGTTTGTCTTTCCCCAACACCAATACACAACCCACATTATGTCTACGGAGCCTCTATAGATAAAGATGAGTACAATGATAATGCCGGCAACAAGACCCTGGCTATACCTCAAACAGAATATACAAAGAATAGAAGATACATGACCCCGGGATGAAGAGGGGCTCACCAAGTCAGCTGGGAAGAAGGTGTACTGCTATCACTGATCAATGTCTCCTGCTGTGGAACCACCTGCATCCATTTAAAGATGCAGCGCCCCCGGCAAAAGGGACGTTAGTACCATCGAATAGTACTAGTATGAAAACTAAACACCAATTTAAGAATTCATAAATACAAGATGAATATGATGGACCAGTGCGGCAATAGTATAATATAGATAACCGTATCAACCATAGCAAGCTTATTAAAAACTATCAACAACATTTATAGGATTTAAGATGAGATCCTCTATAATCATCTTCACACAAAGCGGCCCCGCCGCCTCACCCGATGTATGCAGGTGGAGGTGTACGTACAATACCACAACTCAAATCAAGCGGCCCTGCCGCCTCACCTCAATGTATGCGGGTGGATGTATAACCACAGTACCAAGAACCTACACAAAGCGGCTATGCCGCCTCACCCCAATGTATGCGGGTGGAAATGCATCAACGATACCAATACCAACACAAAGCGGCTATGCCGCCTCACCCCAATGTATGCGGGTGGTGGTGCCACAACAATACCAAAACCATACACAAAGCGGTCGTACCGCCTCACCCCAATGTATGCGGGTGGAGGTGCAGTCCCACAATACCATAATTCGTACACAAAGCGGTCATGCCGCCTCACCCTAATATATATGCGGGTGGAGGTGTATCACAATCATAATCTCTATACCATAATCTCCACACAAAGCGGTCATGCCGCCTCACCCCAATATATGCGGGTGGAGGTGTATCACAATCACAATCTCTACACAACTTGGCATAATAACTTTCACATAAATCACGACTAGAAATTATAACATGTGGATACATAATCTATAGTTTGGGACACATCCTCAATTTATAATGCAATATGATAAGAGCATTTGAAACATGGATTGAACATATATCTTCATCACAGAACTTATCAGGATACTCGATTTATAATTAACATCTCGGAACTTACAAGGATAATGGGAATTCCAATTCTCAAAGAAGAGTTTAGCCAACAT